AGCCCCCAATTTCTTTAAATATGTACCTAGAATTCTTGTTACTGGATCATATGGTAGTTCTATTTTTTTTAGTTTTTTGAAGAATTTGTATACACACACACAAAATGAAATTTATATTCTAACCAACATTCTATAAAAGGTTTTCTTTTTTCCATGTGGCTGTACTCTGGAGAACTTGTTGTCTTGCAACTTTTTGATAGTAACCATTTTAATAGCATAGTTCAGGCTGCAGGGGGTCTGCTATTTGATTGGTGCATTAAGCCCTGATACAAGTTAGATTCCAGTGCTTCCACCACCTGTGGCCAAACTTGTGGTACTGGTGAAGGGCAATAGGGAATTAGGAAAGATTCACACACATAGATTATGAACATAAATAGTTTGAATCATGTGGAGCACTCCTTTCTGATGGAGAAGCAGACCTAAAGAGTTACACCAGCAATCTTTATTTATATATGTCTCCTTATCAGGTTAAGAAGTATGCAAGCATTATTCTTTGTACTAAGGAAAGTTTCAGAATTAGAAACATCTGCAGCTTTTCTACAGTTTCAATGTGAAATGTTAGGAGCTTTGTGTAGCGTTCAAGGAAGTCCATTGTTTGAAGTTACTGAGCAGCAGAGCTGGTGAAACATTGTGGTTGTCTGGCAGGAGAATTTCTGTATCCCTGGGAGCTATGTTCCTGAGATCAAGGTTAAAGCTGATAAGACTTGCACAGAGCCTCCTTGGGCAGGACTTTACCATAGCAGCAAGGCATCCTGTGCCTTTGCACAGAAACAGTCCCAGGCAGCATGTGCACCACAGCCATGAGGTCATCAGAGACCCCCAATCGCAGTCACTGCTCTCCGCAATCTAGCCTGTCAAGTTGCCACTGGAAGAGTGTGCTGTGGCTTTTTCTGAGATCTGTACTTTTTGACCCCTTTTCTTCTCTAGTGGTGGGGATTGTGCCCAAGGAAGTACTTGCCCTTCAATATCAAACCACTTGTTAGTGATCTGTGGAGATTTGCACATACTCAGTTACCTTTGTTTGCAGAACTCAGAAGGCTGGGATGGAGACCCAGGAAGAAAAGGTGTTGAGGCTCTCAGTGCATGGGCAGACTCCTTCTAGGAAGAATTGGAGTTATTACTGGGGTGAAGTGGGGGAGAGAGCTCAGGAAGCACCAAACTCCCACTTAGGCTAACAGTGGTGGCCTTTATTTTCCTCTTTAAATTCATGATTCTGGCTAGATAGGAGCTCATTCATCTGCTGCAGCAGTTGGCAGAGTGAGCTGGCAGACCCAGAGCCCTTCTAGGGATAAACTGACACCTATGAGATTTAACCCATTGTCTTCCCTGGTCCCAGGTGATGAAGCCAATGGAAGTACTTGCATGTCCATAAAAAAATCACTTTTTCCTGTGGTCTTGATACTTGTGTGTTTGTAGTCCCCTCCTCTCTCAGCAGTAGATAAATTAAAATGCGAACCACAGACGACTTTAGAGTTAGGATATGGAGAGTCCCAATCTTCCTCTCCTAGGTCTCTAAATTTACTTGTGGCATGACTTTGTCTAGGAACTTGAAACATGAGTAGATATTTATTCAGTGTATCCATATATGAAGGGAGAGTCAGGAGTCTCCTATTCTGAGGAATTTCCAACATTATCCTCCATTAACATCTGCCTTTTATTGTGGTGCTGGGGTTTGAACCCAGACCTTGCACATTCTGTATGCACCCTCTACCAGTGAGCTGTGCTACCAGTCCCTGCACCTCCCTTTAGATTGGGCTGACCATGCATTGAAGTCTAATGTAATTCTTAATATGCTTGGATTTACTTTGGCCTTCCTGTTGGTTTTGACAATAGAAAATTCACCTTCATGTGGCTTCACCTATGGATTTTGTGTGTTATTAGTCCTTAGTTATTATTAATGTAATATTACAGTTTCATAATATATGTTAGTGTCAGGTAATGATAGCTACTTGTTTTGCTCTTACAAATCAGGGTTTTTTGGCTAATTTTGTATATACTTTACAGATGAGTTGTAGGGTGTTTTGTTTTGCCCCTTCATTCAATAAAAGGAAAACATCCTGAAATTTTGATGGAAAATGTTACAAATTAACTGGGAGGAAAATCATTGTCTTTGGAAGGATGAGTTTTATCATGTACACATGGTGTGTGTAATTGAGTCTTTTATTTGCTTCTGTATATTTTAATTTTCTGGTAAATTCTACATATTTCCTTTGAAAAGCATGCATACACATGAAGTATCACAGGGTTGAGATGGCTCTCTAATACTAATCTGATGTTTTCTATGGTTAAACTGAGTGTAATATGACAAAAGATATGGGTGGTCCCTAAAAACCATTGTTTTCCCACTTTTTTATTTGTGTCTTCTTGAATGTACACCCTCTTTCCCCGCCTTTGGATTTCAGTTGTTCGGACCAATATTGCTGTGTCCTCGTGTGTTTTCATGGTTTACACATGCAGTGATTTCTACAAGTCTGTGCTGATGGTGTATTGTGTATCTTCATAGATTTTCATAAATATAGAACAACAACTTACATTTCATCTTTCGTTCATTATAATTCATTTTTTCCATATATTTTTCAGTATTGTTTAATTTTATATATCTGATGTGATTTTATTTTACATTTCTCTAATTTCCTAAGATTTGAAATGTTTTCATGATTATTGGCTGTTGAGTTATCTTCTGTATAAATTGCTCAAGCCTGCTTTTTTTGGTGTCCCTGAATTTTCCTTTGCTATTAAAAATTTTTGGTTATATGTGAGGGAATTATTTTCTTCCACTGTGTCACTTCTCTTTTTACCTTTTAATGTTAGCATTTGATGAATAAAATTTTTGTTTTAATGTTGCCCAATTTTTTAATTTTTTTAACATGTTTTTTAGTATACCTTTGAAAAGAACTCCTTTTTTTGTGGTTCTTGGAATTGAAACCAAAGGGACCCTCTTCCCACTGAGCTACATTCTGGCCATATTTGAAATTTTATTTTAAGACAGGGTCTTACTAAGTTGCCCAGGCTGGAATAGAAATTTCCATCCTCCTGCCTTAGCTTTCCAAGAAGTTAGTATTACAGGTATGTACCACCATGTCCACCTTGTAACTAACTCCCTTTTTATAATAATTTGTGAATGTTTTATGGTTTGCTTTTATCTTTAATTATGTATTACCTCTGACAATGATTTATGATGTGATATGAGGAAAGACTACAACAGCACATATGGGTCACCCAGATATCCCATTTTCCCAGCAGCTTTCTTTGGAATAGATGCAATTTTTGTACTTTCCTCCAGTGCAAACTTTTGTCATTTATCATTGTCTAAATAGCAAGTGTCTTTTTAAAAGTTCTGTCTTTGTATCAACAGGTCTATTTATTCATTTTTTTGTGAGATGTACATGACTACTGTGACTTTATAGCATATGACCATGTGTGGCCTAATGACTTTTTCGTTGGTGATGGACTGCATGTACAGTGACAGTTATCACAGCCTAGGTGTGTCGTAGTGAACCATCTAGGTATCAGTGCTCTGGGTGATGACTGCAAAATGAAGAATCACTTTACAGTGATTTATAGCATTATCATCTACACATGGTATAACTGAGTCTTTTATTTACTTTTGTAAATTTTAATTTTTTAAAATAAATTCTGTGTATTTCCCTTTGTTTTAGTTGTAGATGGACATAGTACCTTTATTCATTTATTTTTGTGTGATGATTGAACCTAGAGACTTACATGTGTTAGGCAAGCACTACACCATGAGCCACAACCCCAGCCCTACATTTTCCTTTTAAAGCATGCATACACATAATTTACAGAGATTTACAGCATTTCCCTGAATGTATATCCAACATTAAATTAGGCATGTATATGTATATTCTAATTTATTTATAATGTTTCCTTCTAAAATATAACCAGAGTTTTTTCTATCTTATTTTTCTTTTAGTAGCATGAACATTTGACATGCTAACACTGTGGAAATGTTCATTTTCAATATCTTTAAATTTTACTCTTTTCCCTAGGACTATCTTTCTATACTCCTAAAATTTGCTTTCTCCAAACTATTGAGATTGATGATTAACTAATGAATTCTTAGGCTCTTTATTAGTTCAACTATTGAACAATGTGTTTTCTTTTTTTACTTCAGCTTTAGATACATCTCATTTTTATAGCTTTATTGTGGGGATATAGCTCAGTTGGTAGAGTACTTGCCTCACATGCACAAGGTCCTGGATTCAATCCTCGGCACTGCCAAAAAACAAAACCAAAAAATCATATTTATATATGTATATATATGATTTTTTTGTTTTGTTTATATATATATAAATATTTATATCCATCCATGAAACCAGCACCACAGTCAACATAGTTAATATAGCCATTACATTAATGTACTCCCTGGTCCTCTTTTTTTTTTAAATATATTTTTT